AAAGGAAAGGAAAGGAAAGGAAAGGAAAGGAAAGGAAAGGAAAGGAAGAAAGGGCAAGTCTCAGATGCCCGGGTGAGAAGCAGAGGGAGGAGGTAGGTAGGAGGAAGGAGGTTCAGACGACGCTTCCTCTGATACCACAGGGGCAACCAGTTGGTCGTCCGCATTACTACATCCATACTTTCATGTGTCTCCCCACCTCAATAAAACAGATTCTGTCCTGGCGATTTTTCCATTTAGTCTTTTTGTGCATGTGCCATTTTCTGCTTAGGATACACAAATGGTAGTGAAATTTCTGGGTCAGGAGTGATACACACGCTCACAAACTTTATCTGCAGACCGGAGCTGATTAATGGCAACTGACGGGCAGGTTTGGAGCGACCCCTAGACTTCAGAAACTGTAGACACCATTTGAAGCGTGTGTGAGCACGCTTCAAACAGTCTCCCCAAAAAGTCTCTCGGGCTCAGTACAGCATGAGTGTCCCTCCAGCCCAGAATCACATCAGTAAACATAGTGTCAGTAAACATCGAGCACAGGAGCTCTGACAAATTCAGCATTTTGAACTAGCTTTTAACCCAACAAATCAATGTCCCTGGGACCTTCTTTACATACTGATTTCACTCTCACAAGGTCTTACCTTCCTGCTAAGTTTCCTTGTTGGCTTCCTCCCTCTCCTGCCAGACTGCGCCTTGAAATAGGAGTAGAGGGGTGGAGAGAGTCTGACATGGTTCAAGTTTAGCATGGAGGGAGCCTGGCATCTGCTGGAGAGTGGTCCAGACTCTGGAGGACAGTTCTGGAGGACGGTCCAAGGCTGGGTTGGCGGCAGGAGATATCCTTTACCCCGATCTCCAAAGTGGACACCTGTCTGGCAGTTACGCGTGTTTTCCTTCAAACTGGTTGCCAGACTGGAATGATCGATGACATCAGAGGCTTCTGACCTTCCTGATTGGAAGGATCAAACTCCATAGTGCTTGGCAGCAGAGGTGGACAACAGCATCTTCTCAGAGCTTTTCTTCACTTCCAGCTTTTCCCCAGCTTGGAGAAGTGATAACGGGCTTGTGTTCAGCCAGAATCCAGAAGAGGAGTTTGAGCAGAACACAATCTAAGTTTTCTGGAAGGGAAGAAAGAGTTTGGGAGAAATCATGGCCGGTTGTCAACCGTGTTCCCGGGTGTGAGGACCAGAGCCCACAGCCCAGCTCCTCAGGGTACCCCCTGCAGGCAGTAATGGGTGAAGAAAGCCCAGGACCATCAGGTGAGGAAGCAGGAGGAAGAAGGGACTTGAGAGTGTTGACTAGGAAGGAGGAAGGGGTACAGAAGTCAGAAAGGAGCATGTGAGTAGGGTTTGTGTGACAGGAGAGATTCAGAGAGCCAGGACCTAAGGACAAGGATATCCCCATGGAAGGAAAACCTGGGGGGCAAGGAAGGAGGGTCAGGAGATGAGATCCTCAAACGAGATAAAGGAGGAGAGGAAATTATTCCACTATTCCATTATTCCAATGGGAGAGATTAACCATAATGAGGAAGAGTTTTGAGGACAGGGGGATGGAACAGTGGCAAAGATGAATGGGGGCAGGTGGATATCAACAAGGCAGAAAGATGGAAAGATGGTTTGGGAGAGGCCAATAGTCTCCGAGGTCAGAGAGAATGAGGGGAGGTTTGGGTTGCGGAGGGGCTTGGGTGACCAATGGCTGAATCCCAAAGACAGAAGCTTTATATTGGAGCCTGGTTTGTTCACTCAGCCCCCCGGGTAGACCCCCATCCCCCGCCTCCCCCCTGTGGCTGGAAGAGGAGAAGGGAGGAGTCAGAGGAGGAGACAGCCCCAGGGGCTGAGGACGTCTGGGTCGTGGAGACGCTGTGTGGACTCAAGATGAAGTTGAAGAGACAGCGGTTGTCTTCAGTGCTGCCTGAGCACCATGAGGTTTTCAACAGGCTGCTGGGTAGGCAGAGCACCCTCCAATCCTATCCTTTCTTTTTTTTTCCTTAAAAAACAAGAAACTTCCAACGCCTACACTTTTCCAATGGAAAAGAATTCTCTGCTAGCTGCTGAGCTCTCTCTCCATCCTTGGAGGACCCCATATTGATCCTCATCAGGGACACTTAAGAACGACAGAGGATTAGGTGACACTTGGAGAAAGGTCTGTCTTTGGGACAAGAAACCTTGGTTTTGGTCATGCCCCTGGGACATCTCAGCTCTTAGTGGCCTTTTGAAACTAAATGCCGTCATCTGTGTGAAGGGGGATGACAGGCCATCTTTGTACCCTGAGGTCACTGTCAAATGAGAAAATGGTGGTGAATGACTCTATGGTCTCTGTGGCCCCTGCAGCAGTACGTGATAATGATAGAGCACCACTGTTTACTGAAGATCCGAATCCTAGCTCTCTCTTGGCCACCCCGCAAGGATACCACCATATTTTCTTGGCCAGGGAGTGGTCTCCTCTCACCTCTGCCCATCAGCCTCACCCTTGGCCACATCCTACAAGCTCTTTCTCCTCTTCAGGGGGAAGCATCATTCTCCTCTTCACTCTGGAATGTTCCCACACTAACCCAGTTCTGGTTCCCAACCTAACACATGCCTTCTTCTCACAGAAGATCCTGTCGTTAAAAGATTCCTGGCCTGGGACAAAAACCTGAGGGTATCTGACAAGGTATCGTCTGTCACTCTCCACGAAGATGTACTCCCGCTCGCTCCAACGTCTGTCCCGGGGCAGGCGGATGCCTTCTGAACCCTCAGCTCTCCTTCTCTCTCCAAACCTGATGCCGCCTACACTTCCCTTCAGGCGCCTCATGGTTTCTTGCAGATCCTCTGGGATCTGAACCCTTGTTGTGGCTCTCTGGCTGTTGTCACCTTAAGTCCCCTCTCCTCTCAGCTCCTGGGGGCTCCCCTTTGCTCCAGCTTATCAAAGACCCTCCTGAAGCTGGCTATCCTAAAGAGAAGCCCCCCAAACAGCAGAGCAAGCCAGCCTGGGAGCACCGGAAACTCTCCCCTTGACTTCCTGGGTTTGCAGCCAACCTTCTGATACCAAATAAGCAGGTGCAGCTGACATGTGGGAGCAGGAGCACCTGCTGAGGCCTTCCACGCCCTGCCCCCGCTTTTCTCCGTCCCCTAGGATGTGATCCCTGTCTTACAGCTTTTTCCTCTCCCCATCAGTATCTCCTGTCTATGGTCGTAGCTTACTTTAGCCGTGCTGGCCTCTTCTCCTGGCAACTCCAACGAATCCACTTCTTCCTAGCACTGTGAGTATTTTGCCTCGGCCATCGGTGATCCTCAATACTCTGTGACCATGGAGGGGAGAAGTGGGACTCTGGCCTTCATCTGTTCTTTTCAAGCTTATTTGTGTATTTTGAGGGGGGAGAGCCAGAGAGGGAGGGAGAGACAGAGAACCCCAAGCAGGCTCCACGCTGTGGGCACAGAGCCCATCGCAGGGCACAAACTCACGAACCACGAGATCACGACCTGAGCCAAAATCAAGAGTCAGACGCTTAACTGACTGAGCCACCCAGGCGCCCCTCATCTACTTTTTTTAAACCTGTTTGTAACTGATTATTTTCTAACCTGTTTTTTTTAAACTGTTTAGTCTGTGTATGAAAACGATAGGATTATAGCATAGCGTTTTTTATACTGTTCTTTCTAAACACAAATAACCCTAACATCAGTTAAGAGACTGAAGAATAGAAAACATAAAACCATCCGAAGAGGAGAGAAGGAAGGAAGTGTACTGCCCTGCCCCAAGCCAAGAGAGAAGCCCAAGTGACATCCATCATTGTCTTCCTCTCCGCATTCCCTGCACAAATGCTTCAGTTCAGGCCCTCAGCACTCAGCACAGACCTACTGTAAATACTCCTGCTGGTGTCTTACAAGGCTGTCCCCAAGCCAGCGGGTGTTATGTGCCTAAAGTCCTTCCAAAGCACCCTTCCCTTGCTTCCTCTTCCAACTTCGCCGGCCAGTGGCGCTCTTGGGCAAGGCCAGAGCTCCCCGTTTGGATCCAACCCTCTCCACCCAACCTGCCAAGCACCTTTCCCTCTGTTTCTATATTGCGTTTTCTGTCTAGCTGATTTTACACATGCACCTGAAGAAAATGACCTGTCCTCAAGGTTGATTCCAACTCCCAAATCTTCAGATGCTCCCCTGACCTCTCTGACTTTTGTACCTGAGTAGCGCTTCTGTTAAAATCTTAGCCTCATAGGGCACTGAGGTGACTCAGTCAGTTGAGCATTTGGCTCAGATCATGATCTCATGGTTCAGGAGTTTGAGCCCCACATCCGGCTCTGTGCTGTCCTCACAGAGCCTGCTTGGGATCCTCTGTACCCCCATCTCTCTGCCCTTGCCCCACTCACATTTTCTTTCTCTCTCTCTCTCAGAAATAAATGAACATTAAAAAAACATTTTCAGGGAGCTTGTATGGCTCAGTTGGTTAAGCGTCCGACTTCGGCTCAGGTCATGATCTCGTAGTATGTGAGTTCAAGACCCATGTCATGCTCTGTGCTGACAGCTCAGAGCCTGGAGCCTGCAGCCTCCTTCGGATTCCATGTCTCCCTCTCCCTCTGCCCCTCCCCCACTCATTCTCTCTCTCACTCCCACCCCCTGTCTGTCTGTCTCTCTCTCTCTCTCAAAAATGCACATTAAAAAACATTTTCAAAAAATAATCCTAGTCTTATGGATATTTTGGACTATAGTTATTTAAAAAATATATTTAATGTTTATTTTTGAGAAAGAGAGAGAGAGACAGAGAGAGAGACAGAGCATGAGCAGGGGAGGGGCAGAGAGAGACAGAGGCAGAATCTGAAACAGGTTCCAGGCTCTGAGCTGTCAGCACAGAGCCTGAAGCGGGGCTCTACCTCACAAGGTGAGCTGTGAGATCGTGACCTGAGCCAAAGTCTGACGCTTAACTGACTGAGCCACCCAGGTGCCCCTGGACTACAGTTATTTCTTATCCAGCCCCCACACCCCCTTCCCCAGTCCCATTAGACTAGACACCTGTTGAAGGCAGGTCTTGTCAAAATACCTCCACACTCTCCTCTCCAAACACTCAACACAATCCCTTCCATTCTGCAAATGTTTAAGTTTATTTTGAACCTACGAGGTAATCAGTATTGCCCTTGACCATGAGAGAAAGCATTCATTCATTCACTCATTCATTCACTGAACAAAAACTCTCCAAGTATATCTTATATGCCAAGGACCATGAGGCGATGAGAAGAAGGATGGGGAGAATGCATGTTGAACTAATGCATCCACATGAACCAAGTCCTACATTAGTCATTTGGTAGGAAAGCCACTTTCTGCAGAAATAGAGTGGACTCAGCTCTTGGCCGCAGGAACTGTGTATGGCCCCAGTCCACACAGGGAGACAGGTGTGTGCACAGACACGGTGAAGGGCAAGGGGTGGGCATGGGGTTGGGAACACAGGGCAGAGCATGCCCACCGGCTTCCCTGCTCAGTTCTGTCTTGTCATCACGGTGGGAGACGTCTCTGCCCGGCAGTGACTTCTTGGTGACTGGGTGGCATCTGGAGACACTGGGTAGTGAGCAGCCTGTGTCCTTTCTGGGAAGCTGAGCTGGGGTGTGTGTTGGGGGGGGGGGTCCTGCCTGTCCTGCTCCTGACCAGCAACCTAACATCTCTCTCCAGCTACCTGGCCAATGATATGGAAGAAGATAACCAGGCCCCCAAACAGGCCATCTTTTCATTCCTGTACGGGAAGAACCGCTCCCAGCGTCCCTTGTTTCACAAACTGCGGTTTCAATTCATCCGATCCATGGGCTGGAAGACCAGGGTGTCCCGGGAAGAGTGTGAGGAGGTGGGTGGGCTGTGGGGACTTGGGGGGGGGTGCCCAGTGGGAGAGAGAGGGGAATATGGAGGGACACGGGATTCGGGATGAGAAAGAATGAAAGCCTGGACGGTGGCAGGGAGGGGGGCCTACCTGGAGGTTGTCTGCTCAGGGGGCCGTCTGTCTTCCAGATCCAGGCTTTTGATCCAGAGCTGTGGGTGTGGGGGCGAGATCGCACCCTCATGCCCTAGAGTTCCCAGGACCACGGAGGCCTGAGGTCATCGGCCTGAGAGAAGGTAGGTCTGTGTCATCAAGGGTACAGGCAGAATAATTTATTGTCCACTTAGGAACTCGGAGGAGTCTAATTGCTGGACGCATGCTCATTGCCCCCCATCCCACATGTCAGCCTTCCACACACTGTGAAGTGGGGGTGGCCACACAGCCAGACGCTGACTCACGTCCCAGCCATGAGCTGACAACCGCACAGCAGGCATGACCTCAGGGAAATATGTGGGTGCCAGACCTCAGGAAAACCAGTTTGTCACAGAGGCATGGACTTGGCTGAAATAACTGCATCCAAAGCAATTGGGCCTGGATGAGAGTTTTGACGACATGTTGATTTTTTGTGTGAAATAGGAAAGTTTCTAATTTTTCCGTATATTGTGTTTTGACTTTCTTGTTTTAACTCATTTTTGGCCTTTAATCCCTGAGAGACTATTAACTCTAGGGATTTACTTACAACAAAATAAATGTCTAACAATATGATATTTGATGGAAACAGCCTACCTGTCCAGTAATAAAAGATAAATTATGACTAGCTATGTCTTCATCCAAATTTGCTTTCGAGCAAGTTGCTTATGGCCAGACCACATATGCGTTCTTCACCTCACCTGGCCCACTTCCAGAACAGTCTCTTATCTTGTTCAATCACACGTTTCCCCTCAGGTTTATGGTCAAGGAAGTTTGTCAGAACGAGTAAAGGTTAAGGAATACCAGTTTCAGCATGGCTTATTGTGATCGTCACATAGTGACAGATTTGGGCAGAGGATTAAGTAAAGATGTGGTCTGAATTGTGCGAACTGGCTCTCTTAATCTGTTCAGGCTCCTATAACAAAGTACCACAGACTTACGAACAGCAGACATTTCTTTCTCGCAGTTGGGACACTGGGAGGCTGAGAGCAAGATGCCAGACCGTTTTCTGGGCTGCAGACTGCCACCTTCTCGTTGTGTCCTCACCACCTTCTCGCTGTGTCTTCACACAGCGGAAAGGGAGAGCTAGCTCACTGGGGTCTCTTTTATCAGGGCACTAATCTCATTTATGAGGCCTCCACTCATGACCTAATCATCTCCCAAAGGTGCCACGTTCTAACACCATCACCTTTTGGGTTAGGATCTCAACATGTTAATTTGGGGGGGGGGGGTGGACACAGGCACTCGGGCCATACAGCACTGACCAAATTTAGGACTAACTGCTTTGGTTAAACATTAGGATTCAGGGTTCAAATGGGAGGTTAGGCATCTGGTCTCATGGTTCATGATGTTGTTGTGTTGGTGATGTTTGTAGTATGGTTATTAATTCAGACCGTAAGAAGCACAAAAGGACCAAGGTGAGCATTGAGTCTAAAGCAACATTCTCTCCTGTTTGTATTACTCCCTGAGAAGAATCACCTAGAGTCCTGGCTACAGCGCATGTAGATAACTGGGCCTGACCTTCACCATAGTAAGACATTTTTGGAGGCAGGGTCCCCAAAGACCAAGGATCAAAATTGAAAATGAACTGAGGTTTAGAATGAAGGATTAAAGATAAAAATGGATTTATAAATCAGCCTAAACTCTGATTACAATTGACTGGGAATGTGAATAATCTTTTCTAACTGGAGACTTGCCTCCTTGCAATCAATCGGACATCCTCTTTTTCTCTCAATTTCAGAGCCCAGGGGAGATGTAGGTTTTCAGCAGGAAGTCCATCCGGATGCTAATGACAGGCCTGAGGAAGGAAGAGAGGAGTCTCTTGTACAGATAATCTGGAAGAACCTAGAACCTTCTAGAATGAGCTGAATAGAGTTATCACACTGTACTCCTAGGAGTTGGGGGCACGTCTAGGAGTCCATGGAAGGACAATGAGAAACCGGGGTTTTGTTCAGGGTCTGTCCCTTCCCAGGGCACCACCAAATATTTCAGATTGTTTGAATTCAAATCTCCTCTGAGGTAGAAGTTGGAGGGCCCATTTTTTATGCACTGGGACACAGATTAGGAGGGAAGTACTTCAAAAATGTAAAATTAGAGCCAAAGGATTGTTTGTGATAGATAGCCTAACAATATGCCATAAATTTCATTGGTTTATTTTGAAAGTCTTGCCCTTAGAATGATTATATTTATTTTTATACTCTATGTTTATGTATTTATTTTAAATAGTTCTGAAATAGTCATACTTTTCAAAACATGCTGTTCCTACAAAGTTTGTGATGAGATTACAGGTGTTACATATATGTAAATATAATTTTGTTTACATTTTCAGGATAGGTTTTGTGTTATTATATTTATATAATATATCAATTATAAGCAGATGGATAGTTCTCTCAAGTTCTTGTAACTACATTTTTAATTGACATTTACTCTTCATTATTCAATTGTGAGAATTCAGTTGTAATTTTTTAACTTGCCTTGATGACACATTTGTATGTTATTTGAGATTATTAAAGAGGATACCACAGTGTGTATCTTGGGGAAACATAATAAAGATAAAAAGTCTTCTTACCTTCATGATGTTCATAGTCATCCCAAGTCTGCCCTACCTGTTTGCTGTCAAATGATAATGTTGCTTAATGGGGTTGCGATCACTCAACCACATTTCGTAACTCTGAAAAATAATTCTGAGTTATTTTTCACATGGAAAAAAGCAATAGAAGACAAGGCAAATCCTGAGCTAGAGTTCTAAAGCCGGAAAACAAGGAGAAGATACTGAGGGAGGAAATGGGGAAGAAAAAAGGAAGATAGTACTATGGGGACCTAGATCTGAAAGTCACAATGAAGGCAAGGTGACTCAGCAAGATATGCATTCCCAGAGATGGTCCATGGCAAACACACCCACAGGTGCAAGGGAACACACGCAGTGTTCATTATTTTAATCATAAGGGGAGCCCTTTTCACAACCTCCAATTCCAGTTTACTGTGGTAGAAGGAAGATCCTTTGTGATGAAAAAGGAACAACTGAAAATAAGTGAAAGTTTTGGAGAACTTTCTGAGAAGCACGAGAAGGTAAGAGGGGCTAAAGCTGACAAATCAGATAGGCATGGAGAAGAAAGAGCTAATAACACGAATCCTGAATATTGGAGGAAACCATCTAGGGATGTGGTAGCACCAGAGAATACTGGGACTGTCCAAAATACCAAGCTTCAGTGTCCCCAGGGCACACCACCCTCCTGGCACATAGATATATATCACCAGTCAGGAAGCTCACCTGAGCCTTGGTGACCAGAGTTTGTATTGGGGTTTCATTATGCAAAGTATGATTAATTCTATCACTGGCCATACATTGAACTCAATCTCCAGCCCCCTGCCTTCCTCCAGAGACTGAGCTGATATCATGTGGTTCAAAGCCCCAACCCTGTTGGTCTTCCTGGCATGGCTAGCTCCTATCCTGAGTCACCTTGTGAGCATAAACTCAGTTTTGGTCCAAGAGGCCCATGATGAGTAACAGACACTGCTAGCATTCAGGAAATTCCAAAGATTTAGAGGCTCTCTCCCAGGAACCAGGGACAGGGACAAGATAAATTCTTTTTTTATTATTTTTAATTTTTTAATTTACATCCACGTTATTAGCATATAGTGCAACAATGATTTCAGGAGCAGATTCCTTAATGCCCCTTGCCCATTTAGCCCATCCCCCCTCCCACAAGCCCTCCAGTAACCCTCTGTTTGTTCTCCATATGTAAGAGTCTCTTATGTTTTTTCCCCCTCCCTGTTTTTATATTATTTTTGCTTCCCTTCCCTTGTGTTCACAAGTTCTTTATACAACACGCTGGCCATGGTCAGGGGTCTGGCAGAACTCAGGTGGTCAGGGAAGGTAAACATTTTAGGACAGATATATCATGGGAGATATTTGAGACACTGAAGAAATAAGGATTGAAATAATGGGGTACTCACAGGGATTTGGGATATCTTAGGAGACATGAGAAATTAGGAGATGAATGTAGTTGTCTATATAGGAGCAGCTAATGACAGTGAGCAACTGAATAAAGAGAGGCCAAAGAAAAAATGTGTGGGGTGGGGGTGCAGTGCTGGTAAATGAGATCAGCTAATAAGCATGGAGCAATTTCAGAAAGTGAAACCACCAAGGCAAGAAGAGCCACAAGGACAACAGCATCAAATTACAGCAGCTCTAGGAGAGGGACAGCATTCAGACGTTGGATGCAGTTGATGGACTGAGGGCAGCAGAAAGACTAGATTCACCAGACATGGAAACAAAGAGGAGAAACAGTCTGACAGGAACAGCTTGGAAACAGATATAACTTATGAGACACCTAGGAATGAAAACATATAGTTAAGAAGCTCTAGGTCTCTGCAGGATGGTAGGTGAGGGCAGATTAGGAAATCACTAAAATGAAACAGCTGAATGAAGAGACACAAGAAACAGGACAATGGATTCAAACAATAAAGCAATAACAAACAGGCAAGAAAACAGATGGTCAGGTAACTGATGACAGGGTGAGATTCGGGAGTGTTTGGGAAACAGAGCCATGGTTTCAGCCAAGACACCTAAAGAACCTGGGATCAGGACTGATCCAGTTGAAGAGGGGTGGGGGGTGGGAGGGGCAACGCCGCTGAGAAGGGGGTGAGGCTTAAGAAATTTGGAGGACAAAGAGGTGGACCAGCTGAGAAAGTGGGAGATGCTGGAGGCAACCGAAGGCTGAGAAGGACTAAGAATCTGGGAGCTGCTTTGGAAATGTGAGCTGATGTCACAAGGATGTGTGGCTCTCAATGGTGGGAAAGTCAGGAACAAGTAGAAAAAGAAGAACAAAGAAGAGTCAGAACAGCTAGGCTACGGTGGCTGTGGCAAAAGGAACTGTCTCCGGGGTCTGAAAGGACTGACTCAGTGACAAACAAGGGGTGGTCGCTTTGTAAAGACAAAACACTGAGAAAACTATAAAAGAAAAAGGTAGGAGTGACACAGGGAGGGTCCAGCAGGCAACTCAAGGGCCCCTGTCTCTTCAGCTACTCCCATCCTCTCAGCTTTTCCGGTAACATGCAGCCACGTATCCTTTACAGCGACTTGCATGCTAGATGAGGTGGGGATTTCTGAGACGTCCCCTAACGTGTGGGCGCTTAGACTTACGGGAAACAGAGTCCGGGGATTGGTCCCGCTCCCGAGGTGGGCTCTGTCAGGCGCACCGCCGGCGTCGTCCTGCGCATGTGCAGCTCGTCCAGTGTGCGTGTTCGCGCACGCGCAGTGCCGCCGCGCCGCTCTCGCTTCCTGTCCGTGCCCAGGTCACCGCTGGCCGTGCTTCCCAGGCTTCGGCCTCAGGCGGGCAAGGACCCCTGGGCCTGCGGGGCTGCGCGCCGTCCGTCCGGGCCGGCACCCAGCGGGCGCAGAGCTGTGCGGGCCGGGCGGAGTCTCGAGCGGAGACCCCCAAGCGCGAGCCCCGGAGCCCGCAGGCTGGGCCGGAGGGGCCGGGCGGCGGCGGCGGCGGCGGCGGCGCAGAGCTTTGGGATCGGGCCCGGCCCGTTTGCACCCGCGGCGGCCCGGCCGAGGTTCGCGGGACGGCGAGGCCCCAGGCGGCCGATTTGGGCCCCGAGAGGGTTTTCGGCCCGAAGTGAACTTGTCCCGGAGGCCCAGATCCGGCTCCTCGGGAACGGCGGCCCCGGGAGGCGCCGCGCCAGCTCCGGAGCCCTCGGGAGCGTCGGGGCAGGTCGGCAGGTCCCGACGAGGTAGGTCGTGGGCTTTCGGGTCTCCAGGCGGTTGTGCATCTTGTGGGCCGCGCCTCAAACCGAGGGCGCGAGCGGCGGCCAGGGAGGGATGGGCTCTCCCCGGGACTCGTGGGGCCCAGGTTTCCTGGGAGCGCAGGGGGTCCCCGCGTGGGCTGCGGACGTTCTGTGTCCGCTCCGTTCTCCAGTCCCGATACGCCTTGCTCCGCGTGCCGCCCTCTCCGGCTTCCAAGAGGGTCTCTAAGCGCCCCTGAGCACCTGTGCTGTGTGCTCTAAGTGTGTGCCGACCGCGCCGGGCTCTGCCCTGTGGCATCCGCCAGTGTAGTGCAGGACAAGCCTGAGAGGGTTTGCTGCTGCTGCCGCCGCGGCCGCTGGGGTGACAGAGGAGGAGGTTGGGCCTGAGAAGGGAGGTGGCTCTTGGAGGGTGACCGAGTCTATGGGTGGGATTGTGGATGCGACTCAACTCCTCGGCCAATGTGCTGTCCACTCTGTTACATTTTAAGTCAAAGTAAGTTTCTTAACAAAAGATCCTTTTGAGTAGCACGTTGAAGTGTCTACAAATGATTTAAAGACAGCCATGCGGGTGCACATCTTTTTACTCAGACCATCCTGCATCCTGTTCTGATCTTAAGTAGTTAAAAGCATGACTAGAAAATAGATGACTGTAACAGAATTTCTTTTTGTATCTTCTTTTGAGTGATGGAGGTTTATCTCAATAGGATACAGTGTTCATTCTCTAATGAGAAACACATCCGCTCAGTGACCACATAGTCAGGTGCCAGTTGCAGACAGGTGGGTGCTCCCTCCTTATTCTTCCAGTTAACGTCTGAAGATTTAAAGGGACAGTTCCCCCACAGGTTTCTTCCGTGGAACTTTCCAGGAGAGCCCTTTCTTGGCAGTGGAGAGCACATACACCTTCATTGCTTCTCTTTTCTTTCCCCAGGTCTGCCCCTACTTTCACTGTTGCCCATGTTTTTACAAGAGGAGCAGAAGATGAGTAGATCGGTGGTAAGTGTTTCTGTTTAATGTATTTAGTCCCCACTTCCTTTTATAATATCCCCTAGGAGATGAATAGTTTAGACTTTAAAGGGGAAGGTAGAGATAGAAAAGAGATATGATTGGTCAGACACGGAGTACCAGAGTGGCAGCAAGCATTTCTGTCGTGTTCACATGTGTAGATAGCACTATCCCTCAGAGCCTTGAAAGCCAAAGTGCAGGGCCTCCTTGGTCTGCTGGACATTCATTGAAAAAAATGACAAATGCCATTCGTTACTGGACTGACACTGACCTGTTGAGAAACAGGTTTGTTTTCTCAAGGGTTTTGCAGTTTCTTTGACCATCTCGCTTTAATTGTGACCCGGCTCCCTAAATGGCAGCCCCTAAACCACGGCTGTTGGTGCCTTACTTGTGCCTCCTGTAAGCTGAGACATACTGGTCCAGGGATCACCTAGTGCACATAATTTTTCTGGAAACTACAACATCATTCCATAGATACATTGTTTTTACTGCTTGATCCAGGGGTAAAATGAGGATACTCTGGAGGAATGGCCTTCTCACCCTCCAGTAAGTCTTGCTAAATATTTTTCTATGCTAGCCTATCTGGTGTGCATCTCAGACTGTGCTGTCATGTCTCTGTCAAAGATTGCTTAGTTCCTATTCATGTTTTCTCCTGCAGTCTTGGTTCTGTCCCTGCCTGTCCCCAGAACCTGCCCCAGTAAAGGTTACCCATGAGCTAATTGTACAAAGCCAGCGATTTGCCAGTCCTTGCCTTGGACTGCTCTGCTGGCTTTCCATCTTCAAGGTCTGCTCTGTTGGTTCTATGACAAACCTCTTCTACTCTCTTCCTGACTGATCTGCCCTGTTCATGTGTTTTTTCCATCCCTGGCTCACGACCTTTATACCTGTCTGACTTACCCTCCTGTGCTCTGAACTGCCCACTCTGTCCATTCTTCCACATGGACCAGATGCCTCTGCCCAGCCACCTACCAGCGTTTCCATGGAGGTTGTCCAAAGGACACCTCACGTTAATAGTAATTATTTGTAGCCCCCACCTATGCCTTCTGCTCTCGTCCCTGTCGGCTCTTTGTTCTACTGAGCAGCCTGTCACTGAATCCAGAAAAATGGGATTCTTTCTAATCTCTTTCTTCATTCTCTGTTACCACATTTGCTTGTTCATATTCTTGTTATATTCTTTTTTTGTTTGTTTTAGAGAGAGAGAGCTAGAGCGAGGGAGCTCTAGCAGGAGAGAGGGGTAAAGAGAGAGAGAGAGAAAGAGAGAGAGAGAAGGTCTAGCAGGCTCCACGTTGAGCCCCGACATGGGGCTTAATCCCATGACCCTGGGGTCATGACCTGAGCTGAAATCAAGTCGGACGCTCAACCAAGTGAGCCACCAGGCGTCCCACAGTAGGTCATTTTTAGAGCAGTTTAGGTTCATCTGAAAATTAAGCAGACAGTACAGAGATCCCATCACTCCTCCATGTCTCAGATTCCCTTGTTATTAACATCTTACATTAGTGTGGTACACTGTTTCAGTGGATGGGCCAGTGTTGATACATTATTACCTGAAGTCCAGAGTTGATGTTAGTTTGCTCCTTGTATGGTTCAGGTTTTGACGTCTGTAAGATGGCATATGTCCACTGTGACAATATCATACAGAACAGGTTTACTGCCCTGAAAGTTCCCTGGGCACCACATGTTCATTCTTTCCTCCCCCAGTCTCTGGCAATTACGAGCCTCTACGCTGTGTGTATGGTTTTGCCCTTCTCAGGATTTCACATACAGGTGACCTTTGCACAACACGGGTCTGAACTGTTTGGGTTTGCTTATCCATGGATATTTTTCAATAGGTACAGCATGGGACCATAAAGGTATCTTCCTCATGATTTTCTTGATATTTTCTGTATTTTTTCGTTGTAAAAATGCAGTCTGGCATTCACATAATGTAAAAAACACGTGTTAATCGACTCTTGAGGTTATCAGTAAGGCTTCTGGTCAGCAGCATGCCATTAGTAGTTAGTTTGGCAGAAGTCCAAAGTTATATGTGGACTTTCAACTGTGGGGGGGGGCGGTGGTCAGTGTCCCTCACCCCCGCATCAGTCAGTGGTCAGCTACTGTTGGGAGTCATACAGCCTGTAGCTTTTTCAGACTGGTCTGTTTCTGGTTTTATGTGAAATGCCTGTTCACATCCACTGCTAGTCTCTCTGTCCCTATACTATCTTGTTTGTTGTGCTTTTCTTCTTGACTTACAAAGGAGTCTTAATTGTTTCACATTTTGTCTGTTTGGATCATGTTAGTAAACATTTTCTTCCGAGCTTATTTGTCTTTTTACTTTATTTTCCAGCCTTACTATATAGTCCTCTGATGTTTTCATTTTGACGAGTTGAATACTGTACATTTTTTAAATTTCTCAAAATTTGTGTGGGTAGGACTCCTAGTTCCAGAGCGCCCTCAGCAGTCAGCACTGGAGCTGCCACTTCGTTAGTAGACGGTCCACGGTGGTGAGTGGGGAGGACTTCATGGTGTTTCCCTCTTATTTCTGTGCGTTCTTGGTTTTCCTCTCCTGGCTCTGGATGACGGCCGCAGTTGCTGTCCTTGGACGGGCCGCGGACTGGTGTACTGACTTCCTGACTCTGCAGGCCTCACATGTCTGAGAATGTCTTTCTTTTTCCTGGATGTTCAAGAGGAGTCTGGCTCAGTGGGGACCCTTGAACTGCAGTCTTCCCGCCCCAGTAGGCTCTTGCTGTTCTCTGTTGTTTGGGCCCCAGCAAGGCATGTGAGCTCTGTGACATGCGGAGGTGGCTGTGACACACAAGGGCCCCTTGTAAAGTCATTTTGCACTTGGGTCTTTGTCTGCAATCCTCAGAGGGGGTCTCTTTCTCTGTCAGTCTTTACTGATGAAATGCCGGTGCTGTGCCCTTCTAGCCACTGCTGAAAGGAGTCTCAGAAAGGTAAAGAAAACCTGTTCTCCCTCCCCCACCCCAGGGGAGAGAGCAGCACTGTCTGCATCAGAAACCTTCTGACAACATGGCAGCTTGAGATGTTCACAGGGTGTTCTTACCCTCAGGTCTGACGGTCTGGCTTATGTGAAACTCTGTAGCCAGCCCTGCATTCTTGATTACAAAGCCATCTCTGGAATATGAGCTGTACTGAGTGTTAAGACAGCAAAGGTTGTTCCCTTTTGAAACCGACCTAAAATCCCTAAATGCAGTTCTGACTGGTTTCTTAATTTGTTAACCAGGTTTTCTGAAACCCATTTTCCTTGAGTTTAAAGTGCTTTTGTAAAGCTGCTTGCTTGAAGCTGGGGAAAGAACAGTGTAGTTTTCTCCCTTTGCACATAAACGTGAACTTGGGCAAACTACTCAAACCTGTCACAAAGAAAAAATTCAGTTTGGAACATTCACGATACTGTTCTTTTTAAGGAGCATCACTGCAGTTATTTTACGTACGTCACAAACAACAAAAATTGTAATTTTTTTCTTGGTGTGCTTTCCCCCCCTAATAAGACCAAAATGCAAGCATTAAAAAAGTCCGTGCAAATTGCACGTTTTGTGAAATTACACGTGCAAAGCCAGAAGTTAGAATAAGATGTACATTGTTCTCTTTCTTCATTGAGATGAAACTACGTCCTGTTTCAATCCCTTGCTCTTTTGCTTTTGGTGATAACTTTTGACACGTGAACTTCTGGATGCCGATCTTCATGAGGGCGGCTGCAGTTGTGGCTGGGGGTGTCTGAATGAAGGCCGGGCAGAGCTTCTGGAATACCTCCTTACTGTATCTCCAGGACTGTCTCCTCACAGACCGGGCCTGGGCAGTTCTGCACACAGATTGGTCTGGCCTGGGTGGGAACCACCTCTTACAGCACCCAGTGCCCTGTCAGCAGTTGGTGCTCAGACCTGAACACCTTTACCTGGTCCCTGGTGTCCCCGTACCTGGAGCCTGGGAGAATAACAGGTTCAGGTGACCAGGTGTCTCAGGGAATCTTGCCAACAGGATGCGTCCTGCACTCTTGGATCGTTACATGTTAAATATTTTAGATTTTCAGTCAATGTCAGGAGTTTGTCATTCTCTCAAATGGCCCCTGAGCAGGACACAGCCTTCTTTCTCCTTCCACACCACTCCTTACATGCCTTGTCAGATCACAGGAGCGTTTTTGCTTTTAATGTACTGGCACTGTTTTATAATCCCTCCTTGGCAACTGCATAAATCTGACAGCCTCATTGGCTTTAGTTGTTTAAATTTATTTCTGTGTTTTCTGGTTAATTTTTGTCCTTATTTGGAAAGAGCGATAAGATACATAATGGATAATCAACAGTAACCTGAGATGTCATTATGTCCAGAGAACTTAGTTCAGGGCTTTCCATGGATTAGCCCTTTTGATACTGGTATTATGATACTTGACAGGGACCATTGTTATCTTTATTTCAGAATTAGTGATACTGAGGGATGGTTGTAATGACCGGTGTATTTGAGTGGGAACAGTTTATTCAGAAGATCCATATTTAAAGGTTTGGCTTGGGCAGTCTCTGGGTCTGTTTGTCCCTCCTTGGGACCAAGCTCCGGCTCCCCTGGAATGTGTAAATGGGCAGAAAGGGGATTCCTTCCGAGCTTCCCAGCTAGGAATTAGGGACAATTGAACAAGCTATCACTGACAGTTTACGTGGCAGCCATGGTCAGGCCTGCTAGACATACCTTGCGATAAAATACACAACTCACAGGGTGCCTGCGAGGCTCAGTTGGTTGAGCGTCTGACTCTTGATTTCGGCTCAGGTCAAGATCTCACAGTTTGTGACATTGAGCCCCACATTGGGCTCTGCGCTGACAGCATGGAGCCTGCTTGGGATTCTCTCTCCCTCTCCCCTTCCCCTGCTCACTAACTTTCTCTGTCTCTCAAAATAAATAAAAAACATTAAAAAAAAAACACACAACAAGGATGTGTGTTGCCTGGCTTCTTCCTTTGCCAGTTGTGGCAAATATCACAGATCAGCTCCTTCCATGCACAGGAGGATCAGGTTGACTGAGAACAGTGGTTGAATTTCAGGCTGTTGAGTTTGGATCTGGGACACGTGTCTAGAGTTTAGGAGAGAGGTCTGGCCTGGTGGTAAAGGTTTGCGAAACGCTGACATACTCACAGCAGGTTGCAGATAGCAAAGTGTGAAAGACCAAAAACGGAGCCCCAGGCCCTCTGACTTCAGGATGTCTTGGAGAACAGGGGAGCCAGCAAAGGAGACAGAAGGGAGTCAGCAGGGGAGGTCAAAGGAGAGCCAACATCAGTAATGTTCTGGAAGCAAAAAGGAGGAGCAAAGAGCACCCTGCATTTCTCTGAGTGCCTCTCAGGCCTGTGCCCCTTGGCACAGGGGCTGTGTCTGCTGGTCTTCGTGTCCCCAGCAGCCAGGACTGTCCATGGCTCACAGTGCAAGATGGTATTTTCTTTTTTTGGTGACTACCGAATGAGTTCATCCTAGTGTATTTCTGATTTATTTTCTTTCCATGATAAAGGAGATAACAGTGTTTGTAGTTCACTTGACCAGTGAGTTTGGTAAGCTCTTCTCCCCGTATGCCTTCTCTACCTCATCTGGTTCCGATCGCGGTACCATTACAGGGGCCAGTGTCATTCAGGGACGTGGCCGTGGACTTCACCCAGGAGGAGTGGCAGTATCTGGATCCTGAGCAGAAGACCACCTACCGGGATGTGATGCTGGAGAACTACAGCCACCTCGTCTCTGTGGGTGAGGAGAGCCCGCTCTCTCGATTGCTAAGATACATGGGATTTCCCTCAGATGTACCGACTGTAACTTTGAATTTGATGGGACAAATGTGAGTGGTCTGTTTTGGGCACCAGGCAGGGCCTTTGGTCTTCACCCCCCCAGTGCAAGGCTCTGATTGTGGTGCAGCTCATAAGGCAGCACCGTTCTCAGACGATGAGAGACCCGGCAGCCCAGCAGTGAGGCTCAAGTTCTCTCTCATTTCTATTAACAGGCTGTCACATTATCAAACCGGAAGTTATCATCAAGTTGGAACAAGGAGAAGAGCCATGGATAGTAGAAGGAGAATTCCTACCACACAGTTACCCAGGTGTGTTAGTGCAGGCAGTGCGGAGACTGGTAACTCGGAAGTGTTTTTCCCCAGGAATCTCTCATGGTCCTGAGCCTGTAGAAGGGACTACAGACAGTTGTGTGTGTGCTCTAGCTACCTAAGCCTCACTCCCGGAGCCTTCCTCCTTCCCCGTGAGAACCTGTGTTTGCAGAGCTTTTCCGTGCTTTGCCTCTCCCCAGAGCCCAGACCCCGCAGCTCCCTTCTCCCTGCTGAGCCTCGGGTCTTGCTTGCTCCATGGCATTTGCAGTCGCCCGTTATCATGGCTTCTTTCAGGTTTTAGGCATTCGTGTCTGTCATGAAAAAGTAACTGACAGGACTCGTAGGTTTCTTGCCACCTTCCTTACTTCTTCCTCTTTTCTGTGAGATGCCTCAGACAGGTCTCTGTCCCGTTTTGTGTCTCCCTTTACTGAGGTCAGATTCCAAACCCCCATCCTGTGCCTGAGCCAGTGACTTTGGTGCACCTCTGCCATTGGTGCGCCTGTGTGCTGCTCATCTGTCCCGAGATCCAACCCTTCTTGAGCTGGGTGACAGCAGTGTCTGGGCCTCCTGTCTGCCCCAGACATGCGTGTCCCATCTTGTCCCTTACTCACCGTGCTGTCCTGTCCTAGTGGGTGCTCAGTGAGTGTGGTGCACGGGAATGAGTTATGATTCCTTTCCCTCCACGCTCCAGAAATGTTTCTGAAGGCTCTGCTTCCCCCCTTTGTTGGGTTCTGCTTCCTGAGTTCTTCAAAGCGCTTCTCCTGCCATTAGGGTTGTTGTTTGCCTGTTTGTTTTATGCTTTACCATCCCTGTCCTCCTGTCCAGTCTCCTGTGGTAGCAGCCCAGTGGTCCCTCGTGCTGCGTGCACTTGCAAGATGCATTCCTGGAAATTTCCAGTTGATCTTATCACTGGTCTTCCAGGATGAGCCTTCAGGGGTTTCCCTGCTGCTACTGAAAGGAAGTGTAAATTCCTCGTCTTCCCTGTGGTGCCTGAAAAATTAATTTTCTGTTGTTTCCCAGAACTCTTGCTAAATCCACTGGGTCCTCCTAAATGTCTTCTGTTCATGTGGTTATTGTCCCTTTTGCTTTAATTCAGAGGGGAGTGCTCTGTTTGCCAGATAACAGCACATTCTTCCAGATAACTGAGCACAGGGCCCAGGTTTTCTGCCCCTCCTTGAAGCTTTTCCTTCCAGCTCTTATTATTATTTCGGTCTCTTCCTTGTCTCAAGGTGACTCTGCCTCAGGGCCATACCTTGAAAAAAGTTAGGTCTGATCAAGTAATCTTACTTGATATTATATATATTTTGCTTGACTTCTTTCTTTCCCAAATTATAATCCTATAAAGAAAAGGGTATGTTCTCCTTGCCAAAGTATGTAACATGTAGTCCACATTGAGTATGTGTGGAGTCCAGTAGGTGAAAGAACTTTCTTGTCCATCTATTGAGAAGTAATTGATAAGCAGTGCTAAATATTCATACCTGGGTCACATCCCCATTTATTCTGCAGGTGCTTGAAAGATACCCAGAGGTTTCAGATCAAAAGCAACAGCCCTGAACAGTTCAGGGGTTCAAAGGAAATAGTGAGTAGTCATACTTTCTAAGAGACAGGATTTGGTTAAGAAAAGAGAGTTGTGTGGTATAATTTACAACTCAGCATTTCAGGGGCGCTTGGCTGACTCAGTCAGTAGAGCACACAACTCTTAATCTCAGGTTCATGAGTTCAGGCCCCACACTGGGCACAGAGCCTACTTAAAAGAAACAAAGAGACCCTCAGCATTTCACGTGGAATGTTGATGTTCCAGGCTGAACCACCGTGCTTAAGCCCTTCTATGGGGAGTAGTTATTTTCAACTTTAAGGGGAAATGGATCTAATTGAGGTGAGAAGGGACTTGAGAAGATTTTGTTTTATTAAAAAAAATTTTTTTTAATGTTTATTCATTTTTGAGAGACAGAGACAGCCTGAGTGACAGAGGGTCAGAGAGAGGGAGACACAGAATCGGAAGCAGGCTCCAGGCTCTGAGCTGTCAGCACAGAGCCCGACGTGGGGCTCGAACCCACCAACCACGAGATCATGACCTGAGCTTAAGTCGGATGCTTAACCAACTGAGCCACCCAGGCGCCCCATTGTTTGTTTTTTTAAAGCATGGAACTCTCTGAAAGACAGGTCTTGAGTAGATCAAGGCTGGAAGCCAAGCAGATTGAATAAAGCAATAGAAGCTGAGACTTGTGGTTGAAAGGAGCTGGGCACTGTTGGCACACCATAGCTGTCTCAGAAGCACATGGTGCCTGGGACGGAGGGTCAGGCCCCCTCCCGCACACCTAACTGCCCTGGGATGGGTCATCTGCCACCTCTTGTCTAGCAAATAGCTTGGTTTCCCTGGGGCAGAAATTCTTCGTAGGCTGGTGTAAACCCAGGGTGGAATCACACTGTGAATCCGGGCAAAAAGTATTCTCTGTCAGACGTTTTCCCTCGTTTTACCTGTTGATGTTTTGGCAGTGCACTCAGGGAATTGTAGGTTTTGGAGGACAAGGCTGGTACGGTTTCATCTGATGTAGATGACAGCAAGCACGGCCGTCAAGTTCATCCAAAAACTTGTTAAGATAAGTAAAAATAAAGGTCACTGTTTTAGGAACAGTTTGGGGAATCTGATTTTTAAGGTTTGTAAATGAAACCAAATGAAAGTCACGAGTGGCGAAGCCTATTCACATTCAGAATTAAGGGACAGTGTGGTATGTCAGAGGCAAGACTAGTTTAAGGGAATCGCCAGGAGTCTGAAAATGGGAAAACTAGTTGCGAAACTCACAGAGCATGTGTTTTGTGCCAGATGCTGTTCTGAGCACTTTATGAGTTTATGTGTGTAATCTCACGGCAGCCTGATAAAGTAGGTACCGTTGTCTCCGTCTCACCCCTGGATGATCCTGAATCTAGGTGACTTCAGTACTTGCTGGTCACCCAGCCACAGTGCATGCTGCACCGTCCAAGTAAGAACAAATAGAGTTTCATGGTCAGAATCAGTTCAGTGTAAATCATAGTATCAATAGAGTGTTTACGAAATCTTAAACTTCTGAAGGGCCAGCATGCTCTGAGTTCCTGGGACTTGCCTTTCAAGTGAAACAGAACCAGAGGGATGTTACTCTAAACACAAGGAGGTTTGGGCGCACGCTGATTTGGCCCCACTGTGCGGAAGCTGAAACGAAAGAAAGTAGTGTGGAAGGATCTAGGCTGGTCAAAATGCTGTCACAGAAATCTCAGTAAAAAGCGATGGTGCCTGAGCCTGTGATCATCTCCCCCAACTTGATGGGAAACGGTGTGGCACAAAGTGCTGGGCTCCTCCCCTCCCCCACTGCTTCCTGAGGCATCTGTGCGCCCCAGCTTGCCTGGTAGCACTCCTCATTCATCCCTGTTTGCTGTGAGTCCTTTCATATCTGCCTGTCAGCTGCTCATCCACCATCCCTTGTCTTCCCATCCCTGCTCTGTGTTTACATTTCACCTTCTCTATCCAGTTTTGAACAAAACCTTATAAAGCAGCAAAGATCAAAGGTGCTTGAGATTTTCCCCTTTCCTGACCTCAGAGGTATGTGTGTATGTGCGCATGCATGCATGTGTTTACCCCAAACCATGAGGGTACAGAAAAGAAGTACACTTGGAAATATTTACATCTGCCCATGGAGCTGGCATCTACACCACGATGAAATGCTTGCATGTAAGTCACATTCCATGTCTTAATGTAGGAGATACATGAAATGTTGTTAATTCTGCCTCTTTTTAGAAGAAGTCTGGAAAGCCGATGACCTGGTTGAAAGGGTCCAGGAGAATGAAGGCAAACACTCAAGGCAAGCTGTGTCCATCAACAAAACCCCGACTGAAGAGAGAGGTAATGTTCTCGGTAAGACTTTAAATGTGGAAACGAACCCCATTCCTTCGAGGAAAATGTCCTATAAGTGTGGCTCATGTGAAAAGAGTTTGAAGTCCATTTCAGAATATATCAGTAGTGATGGCAGCTATGCAAGAAGGAAGCCTGACGAATGTGGTGCGTGTGGGAAACCGTTTCCCCGTGTGAAGCTTGAGAAAACTCATCAAGGAGACCAATCTTACGAATTTAATCAAAGTGGGGGAGCTTATAGTCTAAACGAAGAAAGTATTTATCAGAACATTCATATTTTGGGGAAACCCTTCGAATATATTGAATGCCAGAAAGCCTTTCAGAAGGATCCAGGTTTTGCTAACCATATGGAGGAGAAGCCCTATAAGTGGAATGAATCCGAAATAGCCTTTCTTCAAATGTCCAACCTCAGTGTACACCAGAGGTCTCACATGGAAATGAAGCCCTACGAATGCAGTGCATGTGGGAAATCCTTCTGTAAAAAGTCAAAGTTTATCATACACCAGAGGACTCACACAGGAGAGAAACCTTATGAATGTAATCAGTGTGGGAAATCCTTCTGCCAGAAGGGAACCCTCACCGTCCATCAGCGCACACACACAGGGGAGAAGCCCTACGAATGTAACGAATGTGGGAAAACCTTCTACCAGAAGTTGCACCTCATTCAGCATCAGAGAACTCACTCAGGAGAGAAGCCCTACGAATGTAGTTACTGTGGGAAATCCTTCTGCCAGAAGACCCACCTCACACAGCACCAGAGAACACATTCAGGAGAGAGACCCTATGTCTGTCACGACTGTGGGAAAACCTTCTCGCAGAAGTCAGCACTGAACGACCACCAGAAGATTCACACGGGCGTGAAACTCTATAAGTGTAACGAGTGCGGGAAGTGCTTCTGCCGCAAGTCTACTCTCACCACACACCAGCGCACGCACACCGGGGAGAAGCCCTACGAATGTAACGAGTGCGGGAAGTTCTTCTCTCGGCTGTCCTATCTCACCGTGCACTACAGGACTCACTCGGGAGAGAAGCCCTACGAATGTAATGAGTGTGGGAAGACCTTTTACCTGAACTCCGCCCTCATGCGGCATCAACGAGTGCACACCGGGGAGAAGCCCTACGAATGTAACGAGTGCGGGAAGCTCTTCTCTCAGCTGTCGTACCTCACCATCCACCACAGGACTCATTCAGGAGTGAAGCCCTACGAATGTAACGAGTGTGGGAAGACCTTCTACCAGAACTCGGCCCTTTGCAGGCACCGGAGAATCCATAAAGGAGAGAAGCCCTACGAGTGTTACATATGTGGGAAGTTCTTCTCTCAGATGTCGTACCTCACCATCCACCATCGGATCCATTCAGGAGAGAAACCGTATGAATGTAACGAGTGTGGGAAAACCTTCTGCCAGAATTCAGCCCTTAATAGACATCAGAGGACACACACGGGAGAGAAAGCCTATGAGTGTTACGAATGTGGGAAGTTCTTCTCCCAGATGTCCTATCTCACCATCCACCATCGCATCCACTCGGGAGAGAAGCCCTTTGAATGTAACGAATGTGGAAAAGCCTTCTCTCGGATGTCCTACCTCACCGTGCACTACAGGACTCATTCTGGAGAGAAGCCCTACGAATGTAACGAGTGTGGGAAAAAATTCTACCACAAGTCAGCCTTCAATAGCCATCAGAGAATTCACAGGAGAGGGAGTGTGAACGTACTGGATGTGGGAAGGCTTCTCTGAAGTCCGAGAACCCTCTCAGCGTGGTGAGCGGGCAGCTCCTGCCGTCGTCCCTCAGAGTTCACACGGGTGATGCACACGAATGAGCCTTTGTGTTAGTCAGACTTGAAATCTGAGAGTTCACAGGGTAGAGACCACAGTTGTAACAAGACCACAGTTGTAACAAGGACTTGTCGGATACCAGACTGTACGGAAGTAAACATTTATAAATATGTAGGATGTGTATGAACTTCACCGTGGACTCAAACTGTTTTACATATCAGGGAATTCATACCAAGGGAAAATCTCTCAATTTAACGGAGGTGGAAAACATACTCCTTTGGAAATTATTAATATTAAATGTTTGTGATGTAGTAACAAGCTTCTTGGAACTTGAATAACTGTTGTGAGTAAAGATACTTGTGCAAACAGAAGCTGTCAGATCAGCAGGTAGTGATCAAGGCTGTAGCATCGCAACTGACGCTCGTACGTGAGTGTTCCTGGGAATGTAGGACTTACGTTTTTGAGGAGTTTTTAAGTTTGTTTGTTCCCTTGTTTTTAGGATGCTCCATTACAGGAATTGTATGTTCATTTGAATCATGTTTGAAAAGCCATTGTAACCTTAGTAGAATAATTTCTAAGACATGGTAAGATTATCCATTTGAAACTGCTCCACCACGTTAGTACCCTAATACTGTCACTGAACTCGTATCTGATCGCGTATGAAGTACACTGCTTCTCCCACTCTTCCCTGTCAATGAACTAAATCGTCTATAAAGAAGCTAATGTTTTTGTAATGTGTTCAACTTTACCTGAGTCAGCAAGAGATAGAAATCTATGCATAAAATAGAAAACCATATAGATAATTTTGTTAATGCCAGAAGTTTCCAGTAGTAGGTTTCCTATAGCACTCGTTGCATTCTCTACAGTTAAACAGAAAGACTTAAAGTATTTCCATTTTGTACTAATTTTTTTTTTCGATCTGTTTTATTATTTTTTTAGTTCGGATGCCTACATATGTGTAAGTGTGCAGAGCACACATACTGTGTAACTTAGTAATTATCCGTATTTTTACTTGATATAATAATGTTTTTAAATATTGTGCTCTACTCCTTCCTGAATGAATGAAGAACTCTTCATACGGGTTTGTGGCAGACGTTGGTGAACGACCCTCGTCACTCACTTCTTACTGTTTGCCGGCGGAGTTTGGGTATCCATTCCTCCTCATGGAATGAGGGATAGATCCTGACTAGTTTCAGTTAATAATGGGAATCCTTTTCTCATTGCCAGCCATTGGTTTAGAGTGGTCACAGGACCCAGTTCTGTGCAGATGAACAAAGGAGAGATCTGACAGGCTATCTCTGGAAAACATTCCTTCAAAGATTCGAGGGATGAATCATGCAGGGTGAAGTAGAGTCTTCTGTCGAACGTTGCCTTCTCTGCATGGGATGCCTGGTTGTGTCTTTCACATACGGATTATAATTTAAGCATGGCCGAGCAGAAATATCAGGAGAACCTGGGACCTAGATGATGACGTTGAGCCACTGAACCAACCAGCCATGTAGCTGGGCCACCTCTGGACTGTCTCTTCTGTAGTAGACTAAATTTACTTTTATGCCAGTTGATTTTGGTTGCTCTGTTAGCCATAACTGAAGATACAAAGTTATACCTTTGTAGGAATTATGCAATTGAGAAGTGGACTTTAGGTAAATCATCTATTTAGAAGTAAGTACTGATAGAGAGCTTTATCTTAACTTTCTGTAAATTTGGATGTAAATAGTTTGAGCACTACAAATCAACTTGAAACAATTAAATGTATGTTTCCTTGAATTGTTACATCATTGACCTAAGAACCTTTAGAGCCTGATAAAGTGTCAGGTATACCTTCCTTTTTACAATGCATGACAAATTTTGTTTAGGTTAATTTATGTTATCCATGGATCATCGCTATAGTGTGAGTTGACAACATAGGTGTGGAGGGTAAGGACCTTTGCTTTCCAGTGATTAGCCGAATAGCCTCTATTTGAATAATTGACCCCTTACGGCTGAGATGAAATGCCATATTTTCTGTGTATTTCAATCACTCGTGCCACCTGTTTTTGTTGCTTAGCACTTTCCCTCCACATTCTTCTAGATAATCGTGAGTATGCTACATAGCAGGAATGAAAAGTCTGGTAGGTTGTATAGTTTTGTGTAGGAAAATATACTCGTGGTGTATTTGTGGAAATGATACCTACAAAGATTCCCACCATAGTTTGTCATTATAGCTTTAAATACACGGTATGCATTTTAAGTAAAATACTCAAAAAGTTTCAATGGTTCACCACATTCTTCTTACCGAGTGCCTGCGCATGAAAGAGCCTGGTACACATAAGTGGTCCTGGACTGCCTCTCTGATGATGGAGCGGTGTGATCTGTTCAGTTTCAAACATGTCCGTGCTCTCATATTATTACATCTCTGAAAGTAAGATCAGTGGCATGTTCTTTAATGCCACTGTTTTTCTTCTCTAGAGGCACGTAAAATCATGGTTTTAGACTTGATGGAATGTAATATATGAAAAGTTTTTAACTGTCCCTGGCAAGCGTGTAAGGTAACACAGGCCCGAGTTCATAAAGAAAGCACTAGAGGGACTTGAGCCTCCCTGTGCTGCAGTAAGGACTGAAGGGGGGACTGAAAGACTTGGGGGTGAGTTGGGGGGCAGGAGCTCCTGGGTGTTGTACCAGTGACCTCATAATTTGGGGTGTGAGCAGATCATGAACTCTGAGAGGGGTTTCCAGGGGCTGAGCAGAAGGCAGACCCTTCCTGGCCGTGGACACGTGAGATCCCCCAATATTCTGTATCCTCCTCGAGTTAGTGAAGCGGTGGCTTACTGACTCCTTCTCACGTGGATCAAAATGAAGACGTAGTTTTAACACCAAGGCCCTATCCCCTCGGAGGCCCCCGAGTCACCCGCTTCTTTGTTCCAGGTCAGTGAGCTTGGTGGCACTGTCCATCCAGGCTCCCCAGAGAAGACTGCACAGTCCACCGGTTGTGGCCCAGCTAACTGCCAGCTTTGCAGGCTGTCTGCAGTGAAACAAAACCAGGAAATTCCTTTTCCTTCTCACAGAGATGACATCACAAACCAACGGTGTTTCCCTTCCCTGAATTCAAAGTCCGTGATTCCTGCCAAACTGACGAAGTAGCATGGGCTGCCGACTTGTTTCTCAAGCCCAACTCTGGGGTGCCAGAGAAGCCCAAGCAGTTCACACGTCCAGGGACTGCAGGGGTGCCCTGGGGGCAGATGTGGCTCTCGGCAGGGAGGTGTGAGCAGCCAGAGACAGTAGGGAGGCCGGTGCCAAGGGGAACTCGGGGACTACACGACACTGCTCTGCACTGTAGTGTCCCAAGCACATCACTGCCCACCACAGTCCTTCGTGAGACCGAAAGCAGGTGCGTCAGCCCCATCTAGCTGAGATGAGGGGTGGACGCGACAGACACAGTGTGAGCTGCATCATCCCTTCCTCATTCCACAGCCAAGTCATTAACATAAGTAGGCACGTTTTTCCGGATGAAGGAGGACCTTCTGGTGATCATGTAATGTGCCAAGAGGGGGTTCCTCCTAGCTGGGGGCGGGCTTTCTCTTCTGTAACACATACGTCTGCTGAGGCCACCCTGAGGAACAGCAATAGGGGTTAGGCCTTTGCCCAGCTCCTTCCATTAGCCGAGATCTCCAGACACCTCAGCAAGAATAAATGCCGGGAGAAGACAAGTTAAGGAGTTTACCAAGAGCACACCATATGTCTCCACCACTAGTGGGATGTAGAAATCCAGATTTCAAAATGGTCTTACTAGACATCCCTTGAGAAAAGTGTTGGTTATATGAAGCAGGAACAGTTATCCCAAAAGAGGTGGGGGAAAGGGCATCAATAAATGGCATGAAGTAAATGCTTCACTAGATGAGTTTAACTGCAGAGTGGATGCAGCCAAAAAGCCAGTTGGTGGGCTGAATGACAACGGCAAATGATTTCGCCCTCAACACCAGAAAGAAGAAAGAGGTACAATGTGAAAAATAAAACAGAGAGGATGGTAGAACACCCATATCCTGGGGTTTTCAAAAAGACAAGATGGGAAGAAAACCCATGAATTAAAAGTTCCTCAGAATTAAAAAAAGAATGAAATTAAGAGAGGCTTTTGTGATGCCAGAGGGAAAGATCCAGAAAATCTCGGGTCTGTAAAGCAAAACACTGTCTTAACCTAAGGCAAGACCGGTAACTAGAACAAATGAGATCCAGTAAAGTGGCAAGAAAAGGGCAGCACATCCACAAGAAGGGATACGACGGTGCTTGGAGTCATCAGTCATTAGAATGCACAAGTTAAAACAAGTTACACTGATCAGAATGGAAAAAATGACAGTGATGTAGAATAAATACTGGTAAGGATGTGAATGGTGATGGGTAATATTTGTATACTGTGGGAGTGGGTAAACTGACCTGGAAATACCTTTTAAAATTCATGTGTGGGGGGCACTTGGGCAGCTCAGTCAGTTGAGCGTCCGACTCTTGATTTCAGCTCAGCTCATGATCTCATGGTTCAGGAGTTCGAGCTCCGCATCGGGCTCTGCACTGACAGCACGGAGTCTGCTAGGGATTCTCTCTCTCCCGCTCTCTCTCTGCCCCTCTCCCGCTTGCACACATACTCTCTGTGCAGCTAACAAAGTTATGGAACTTTCTCTGTCAAACACTTAATAAAAATAAAAAATCTTTAAAATTCATGGATGTGCCTTCTCATGCAGTGGCACTGCTAACATATTTATCCATCCCCAAGAAATTCTGTACACGCGTGGATGTGTACACAGGGAATTCTGTCAACAGGATGTTTGAGATGTCCGGGTCACCAGAAGAGGTAATAAAACGCTGATCAAGCAGTGGCGTGCATAACACATTTGATAAAACATGGATATGAACTTTAAAAATGAAAAGGGATTTCCGCAACTAAGTATTTGTATCCATTAACATCACACACACACACCCATATACGTTACAATGGAATGTGGTTAAGGTCATAAACCGACCAGCATGAATGGCTGTGAGAAGGGAACAGAATCAGAGTTTGAAATGAAGAGAAAAATCAGGCACAGAATGGCCTCCAAGCAGAAACCGACATTGAATATAAATGTTTTGAACCCAGTGGTATGATTAACACTGTTCCCCAGGACTCCTCCAGAAACATTAAAACAAAAATTAAAGGACCTGACAAGTAAAACTCCTCATCGTTTTATGCTGTTTAGTTTTAGCCAGAGTTTCACGGCTCGGGTGCCTAAATGACGTCTGTGTCTTTTCTGGCAACTTCAACCCAACCCAGCTTCCAATAAGTTGTCGTGGCTGCTCCATTTGTTGGTTCCTCCGTACTTCAACTTTTTTTTTTTTTTTTAGGTAGACTCCATGCCCAACGTGGGGCTTGAACTCAAAACCCTGAGATCAAGAGTTGCACACTTTACTGAGCAGCTGGTGTCCCTGTCACTCTGTACTTTTAAATGTTCTTGCTAGGATGAAGGAGCCCCCCAGCTGGGAGTATCTGCACCGTGTTGCAGAGGTCATTTTGTGGGAGAGACTGCATTGCTCAGTGCACCACGGTGCCCCCTTGTGCCCAGTTTCAGCTGTGCGCCTCCCTGCAGAGCTGAGTTCCCGGCTTCAGCCAGCGGTGGCCAGGTGACTAAGTTTACGTCCACGGAATTCGAGCTGGGGGATATGTCATCTTCTGAGTCATATTCGAAGAGGACTGTTGTTCCCCACTGCCTCCTCCCTCCATGGGCTGTGACAGCACCATGGTGACAAGGGTAATACCTGAGGACAGGGCTTGGCCAACTGGGCCTGGGAAGGGCTGGGTGGAAACACTTCAGGCTTTGTGGGTACAGCCCCTCACAGCTGCTCAGCCCCGCCTCCACATGTGACAGCACCTACACAGCCAATGGGGATGGCCTGGCTGTGTCCCAGTAAACCTTTATGTATGGACACAAATTTCAATTTTGTAGAATTTCACATGCCATAAAATATTTGATTTTTAAAAAAAAACTGACAAATGTAAAACCCAATCTTGGCTTACAGGATGCACCAAAAGGCAGCAGGCCAAATGTGGCCCATGAACTGTACCTTGCTGACTCCTTTTTAGGGGATGGAAAAGTAACAAGATAAAGGGGACCCTTTCTCTAGAGAACATCCTGGACCGGAGCTATCCTATTTCCCTGGACCGCCTGCCTGGTAGTTTAGAATTGTACATGAGATCGCCATCTTCTCTCTTACCAACTAATCCAACACTGATACAGAATTAGCCAACAGAAAAATGAACCACAGTCATTTCTTCTAAACTGCAACATATATGTTCTTCCCAAACCTAGTGGTATGCTAATGACTTAAGAGTAAGTCACAGGAAGAAAATAAAGGGCAGCCCATTCAAAACCTCTGTAATATAACAAGAGTTCTAGCACAATCAGTAGCAATCCTAATAAAAGATGTGGTTTTAAAATGTTAAGTTCCTAATAAAATATGCAGTATTTCTATCTTTAGAAAAATGTGTGCTCACATCTTGATTTCTAAATATCACACTCGAGAGTAACAGTTTACTCCAAGGCTGATCAGGAAAAATAAAACCACGGAACACTTATCTGTACTAGTAAACAGGAAGTGCTCAGGCACTGATCAGAAGGTATGGCAGAGAGGAGGAAAATGGGGCTCTGCCCATGCCACCCCCCCCGCCCCCGCCCCCCAAGTAGGAACAACTCATGAGCTGGCATCTTCTGCAGAACTCTAGAACTTGGTCCAAAATTTCTAAGTATCAGGCGAGGCTTGGTGAGGCAGGGGCACAGCTGCGCAGCCAGAAAGATGACTCTCCTGCCCACCTACCACCACCACCCCTGCCCCCACACCTCAGATCAGCTACCAAATGGGTGACAGCCTGCATTCCAGGCCAGTGGGTTGTTCTCAAACAGCTGCAGAGTGGGCTTCACCTGCTGGACAGAGGTCTGTAGGAGGGTTTCGAGGGGCATCCTCTTGTCTCCTGGACCCACATCAGTCATGGGCCTGGGCAGCCTCCCAGATGGCTCATGCTGAAAGCATTTAAAGGCACAAGTCCAGGGGCGCCTGGGTAGCTCAGTCAGTTGAGCATCGACTTCAGCTCAGGTCATGATCTCACAGTTCGTGAGTTCGAGCCCTGCATCGGGCTCTGTGCTGACAACTTAGAGCCTGAAGCCTACTTCGGATTCTGTGTCTCCCTCTCTCCCTGCCCCTCCCCCACTGGCTCTGTCTTTCTCTGCCTCTCAAAAATAAAGAAACTTAATAAA